TGTACGGAAATAGGGATGCTTTGTATACTATATTGGTATAATTACTTAATTGTGATTTTCAATAAGATATTGCCAAGTTTCTTGTAAATGGATTTTAGTGTTTTCATCATCAGATAAAATAATTCCAAAAGTCTATGGACTGTACACTGTAAATAACCAGAATGATACTTTATGAGCAAGATCAGTATTTCATGGGAAAATAGTTTTCTTTTAAATTTTAAACTAACATTTTGTTGACTCATTCTATCAGCTGAATTGTATGAGTAAAAAAGATGCGTGTATCATGTGCATATAGTCCAAGTTGTGTGGTTACTAAATTAAAGTTAAAAAGTGAGGATATTTTATGTTACAGTAGGCAGGTGAGTTTGTAAATCACAGTTTAAATAGCTATATAGTTAAAACTATAAGCAAAGCATTGCTTTAATATTAGCCAAATACATCTTTGCTCCTAAAATCTTAATAAATTAATAGTGAAGTATGCAGAGCTAGGACCTTTGGAATGTAACTGTACTTTTTATATAGTGTACTGAAAAATGTTTTGGCAAAATCAGCCAAGAAACATAATTTTTTTTCCAGCTTACTGCATTTCTACTGTATCTTGTTTCCCCAATGTATATGAACCCTCAGTTTCTGTAGGGCCTATCTCACTTCATCATTTTTCTGATAGGGCTTTTTTTCTGATTTATTTTTTTCCCTTCTGCTAGGATCATTAAACCCCAAAGATTTAACTTCTTAATGCATCTAAAATTCCAAGAGGGAACCAATTAGACAGTCATGACTGGGTTGCTGTGTTACAGACAGCTAGCAGTTACCAAAAGACTTTGAATAAAGTTATCATTGACCATAGCTGCTCATTGGTTGTGTTTTTAGGTAGACTCTCCGGACACTTTTTTTTTTTTTCATAAATACAGTGCAAAAATTCAGTAGTTGAAACTCCAGATGATTCTTAGAATCACAGAATGGCTTGGGTTGGACGGGACCTTAAGAATCACCCAATTCCACCCCCCTGCCAGGGGCAGGGGCACCTCCCACCAGACCAGGTTGCCCAAAGCCCCATCCATCCTGGCCTTGAACACCTCCAGGGATGGGGCATCCACAGCTTCTCTGGGCAGCCTGTGCCAGTGCCTCATCACCCTCATTCTTCTGTTTCTGGCAAGAAAGGAAAGGAATTTGATTGATTAACCATTCAGAAAAGATTTTGTTGATGGGATGACAACACTGAATGGTATGTCAAAGTTTGATAAGTGTCCAGATTGTATGAAAAATTAGAGTAAGATTCTATATTTATGTTAGAAAAGCCAAGGAATTTTCCTTCTGACATATGTAAGTCTAAGTTTGAGATAGTTTATTTGACCGTTGTGTGTGAGAGCAGACTCATGTTTGTATTGGGCTTTGAAAAGAGCGTTATTTTTTAATGATACTCTGCATGCAACTAATGTCGTGAGACATATACAGACAAAATCTTTATTAATATGCTTGACACTGTCAGAAGACACTTCTGGCTGTGGACTAAGTATGTTGTCCACATTGTATGGTGGTGTCATGGCTTTTTATGAGTTAAAGCTTTTTTTTTTTTTTCTTCCCATTGCAGGGAGAAATTCCCAAATGAGATCATGCTGTGTGGGTGAAAGAGTACCTTATGCCAACAAAGGAGATGTATAACTAATATGTATTTCACTACTCCTTTGGCTGTTTCAATGTAAATGCAGTAGCATGACCAAAGTGGATATGAAGGTCTAAAAGCACAAAGAGGAAATGAAGGAGCTCTGTGTAAATCATTGTGTGGTGGTTTTTTTTGTTTTGTTTTGGCTTGGCTTGGCTTGAGGCAGATGTTTAAGGAATAAAACTGCGTTACTGCCTTCCACGGTGCTACTTGACAAACCGTATAGAGGGAGGAGGCATTTTTATTTAGTGTTATGTACTAAATAAAATGCTTTGCAAAGAGACAATCCTGTTTTTGCCTTTGCAGCAGTCCAGAAAATCTGTTTTAATAGCCCTTGCTGGAGATGCAAAACAGGGAACTATTCGGCTTTATTATGTGTACTGAGTCATTGTTGCATCTCCTAACTATTAATTGTTTGATTTGTTAACATGATTAGTGCAGTGCAGAAATCCAGGGGAGGTTTTTAGTACCTCTGGTGAATGACCTTTTCTGATTTTACTTGTATTGAAAAAATATTTCTCAGAAATGTTCACTATTATTTACTTGTCTAGGCTTCATCAGAAGTGTGTTGACACCCCACCTCCCTCCAACCCATTTTGGTTTTCATTGTTTGTGGAGAAAACACTGAAATGTTGCAGTTATTAGGTGCTTGAAAAGTCCCTGCAATTAATACTGCTGGTAAAATTTAAATGAAAACGGAGTTTCTGACCACTCTGCTTTCATCATCCCCGTATGGACAATTTTCAAGACCTTAATAAGGGGATTTTCTCTATATGTATAACAATTGTATGTCTTCAAGCGTGGCAATATTTTGGCATTGACGCATAATTCTTAAGGAGGAAAACAAAAGTGGTGGGTGGGAGGGGATTAAGACAATTAACACCTTTTCTTGAAAAACGTGTGAACTGTGTGTCATTAGGCAGGGGTAGTGAAAGCTGCTGGTTACCATCTGGAATTATAGATGCTGAAGTATAATGAATGCTTGAGTGCACAATTTAGTTTTCCTACATAGGAGGGAATTGAAGAGGGTTTTTTTTGTTATGTTGTTAATGCCAACATTTCTGCTTTGTAGAAGGAGTTCCAAAGTCCTGTTCTTTGCTTAGGAAAACAATTTATTTTGAGAATGGTAGTGATGTGATCATGGATTGAAATGCATGATTGAAATAGTAGGGGGCGATGCATTCACGTGTGTGTTTTGTTGCTTTTTTTTTAGTTATTATTTATGTTTTGTCCGTAGTTTATTTGATGAAATACGGCACCTTAACATTTGAATTTTAAAAAGTGTTTTTTTTTTCTTGTTCAGTGTGCTTATATGGGATTTTAATAGTTTGATAGTCTATTATTTCACTTGCATTTTAATATATTAGTGAGACTAAGTAAATATTCATCGCTTTCTTGAGTGGTATTTAGTATTTGGCTAGAATCCTGAAATAGGTTGGTGATTCACATGCATTGTACTGTAATTGTTCTGTGATTATTTGGGGTGCAGGCACCACACAGCCTCAGAACTGCTAAGGCAGTTACTGTTGCTTTAGAGGCAACTGATCTGTCATGTAATCTGGTTAATCCCATTTCACACGTTGAGTGAGGACCACATTTTGTTGCATAGGATAGATGTATTCTTAGCTCCACAAAATGAAGTTAGTTTGGTATTTCTCAAATCTCAGATGGATCTGATATTTCTTACTGCACTAAATTTGTAGCATCCTGATTTAGAGCCAACCTTTCAATTACTAATCTGTTCGAGGTTATTCCTGTGGGGTTTTTGTTTAGTTTTGGTTTCTCTTTGATTACTTTACAAAATTCTTTCAATTTCTTTACTTTCCTGTAAGTCTATGACTCCTTTTCTCTGAAAGTCATGTGTCAGGACCTGCAGTTCTGGCATGTTTTGGTGAGCTGTAGTTTAAACGAGTGTTGGATGATTAGCCTGTAGACTTCCAACAGTTTACTCTTGACAGCTGCACAATAGGGGTCTTGTTCTAAACCCTGTTGCTGGCTCCCTGCAGAGACATACCCCATTTTGTAACAAGTTCAAACTTGCTGTTCTTTAGGAGTGAATTACTTTTTGTTGTACAAGTTTGGGTTGTTTTATATGTGGGGTGAATTAGTTGTCTTAACAGGTGCTTTAGACGTGAGGAAAGAAATATAGGTCTGCCTCCTGTAATAGTTACGCACACTTAGATGTTTTTATGAATAGAAATACATAAAGGATTTCTTTTCTCTTGTTTTTCTGTATTAATTTCTGTGATTTTATTCTAAGCCTTCAGGAGAGCGTTGTGAGTAGTTAGCGTTTCACCAGAATTCTTTTGTCTCTTAACATCATTTTAATTTATTCTTGTCATTATCCATTCCTTCTTTTAAATATTTTGAATTCTTCTCCCAAAGTATATAGTTTTAACAGAAAGACAGTGTTCTTTCTTTATGACCTACTGTGACTTTCTCTTTGCAAATTTTCGTTTTACTATGTGACCTGTAGACTTGTATCACCTTGTCTTCAAAATTTTGTTGTCAGTTGTTGATGTTCTTCACTTAATGGTGTGAAGTCTCAGACAATTAACCTGTTTTCCAAGTCATGCCGTTGGCATGCACAATGGATGCACAATGTTATGGTATGTTACAATGCTGTACCATCTGTCTTTTATGTTAGACTGTACCTGCAGCTAGCGACCCCTAAACCAAATAATAGCTCTTGTGCTACTGAGGGGTTGCTGCTCGGCTGAATTACATAGTTACATAGTGTGTAATCAAGTAAGATTCTGCCTCAGTTCTTATTAAAATAATTCTGAGGTGGTGTTGCTTTTGTTTTGTTTTGGCAAAGGGAGAAGGATATTTTCCAGTTTTGTGTACGTTTGGTTTTGTTCTTAACTGAGCTTCTAAAACATAGAAGGCATGTTGTTGTTTTAGTCATGATGGCTTCTAATTTTTCATCAGTCTAAAATAATGAAATCAATACCTACATCTGTTTTTAGAAAAGGTAAGGAAGGAGTTAATGTACTGCTGATAGCTGTTACTTCTTAAATAAACTGAGGCTAAGAACACATTGTATTAAATGCCGTACAGATAAAGCCCTGTAATTAAAACAAATATGGGACAACAAGTGAATTCAGTCTTCAGTCAGAGAACATAAAGGAAGAATGAGAAAATAAACCAGCAAAAATGCTGTAGGTTTTGGTGTCATCATTGCAACACTGCTGACAGTGGTAGAGCAGTGCAATGAACAGTTGGATAACATGTACCTACCTGCTACTTTTAACCTGCAAATTATTTTTTCAGAATAAAGTTGATTCTCTATGAAAGCAATTTCTTATAAATGTATGCTTCCCTGTTCTGTGTGTAGGTATCATGCCAGTGTATCATAACATGTTTGCACTCATGAGTGAAGCAGAGAGAATTTGGTATCCCCCAAATCACATCTTCCATGTAGATGAAGCAACCAGACTCATCCTACTGTACCGGATAAGGTAATTTAAAGCAACCATTATGCACTTTTCATGCTAATACAAAACTATGGTTTTACCTTACAATAAGGTATTTACGTGAACCATAATTTCTCTCAGAAGTTACAGACAGATTGTTGGTGAGATTTTGGATAGATAAAAGAATAAAAATGGATTGAGTAGGTCTAAATGACATATTTTGTCAGTTGTCTACAAATCATACATATGCCATTTCAGGTTGAAGAAAGAAACGATTATGTATGAAATGTATCAAAAATAAAAATAATATTTTTCTTAATAATAAAATCTCATCTTTTCCATGCTTGCCCATTTAGAGTAAGTAGGAGTTCTGAAATTCAGAATAATTGTGTAGGCAGGAGAATGTGTGCAACAGAACCACTTCCATTTGATCTGATTTTTGGATGTGGACTGTTAAAGCTACAGTCACAGTTTTCCTTAGGAAAAAGACTTTTATTTCTTTAAATTGCATAATGTAGCCTGAATGTTTCTTTAGGAACTGTCTCAAAGGAAACTGGAAGAGTAACACAAGATTCTCTGTATTCTTATTAGTAAAGATAAATTTGCAGATCTCCTCATTCTTACCACTTCAGCTTCTCACCCTGCTTAAATGTTGTACTACACATCAAGAACTGGATCCAAAGCCTTCTGTTCGCTTGGTGGGCTTCACGTTGGTCCTCCAAAACAGTCAGCACCAACTATTACACATCTATGAATGGAATAATGTCTTTGTGTTGGGAAAAGGTATCTTTTTATTGACCTTTGCTTAAATGTTTCTTAACAGGTTTTATTTTCCCCACTGGTATTGCAATGGCACAAGCAGAGCATATCGGTATGGCATTATTCGGGGTGCAGAAAGCCCTGTTCTTGATGATCTTGTCATGTCTTACCTATTTGCACAGGTATGATTTGCTTGATTTTTTTTTTCAAATGCAGATTAGTAACAGCCCATAGTATTTTCTCTCTTTCACATCTTCTGATAGTAGCTATGCAAGCTCTTTTGACAGCCTGAAGTTTACTTTTAAAGATGGAAATGAAAGTACGTGTCACATTGGTTTTGGAGAGGTGAAGTCAAATGGCACTTGCAGGGAGAGCAGTGCGATTGTGCAGCTCCATTCAACTGACACTGCTAGGTGGAACTCTTTCAGTGTGACTTTTCATTTTGGGCTGATAAAGTGTGTAACAGTATCTTCCACATATAGACATTGACAAGATTTGAAAATGAAGTATTTTGAGAACAGTTTCTAAGTGTGATGGTACCTGATATCCAATATGAATGTATGCAATTTACTGGGGGAAAAAAGGTTCATTCAGAAGAGTGCTGTCTTTAAATATAAATACATATTTATTGTTAAACAGCATGTCTACAATTTTAAAGTGCTTATTTGCATCTTTATTTTTCAGTGGCGAGATGATTTTTTGGATGGATGGATACAGATGCCTGTTACTCATGAAACACAGGAAGAATGCCTTGGAATGGCTGTTCTGGATATGATGAGAGTGGCCAAAGAAAGGGACCAAACACCACTGGCTATTTACAACTCGGTCAGGTAACTCCATACTTCATAACTGTATCACACCTGGTATCTGAAGACAATAATTTTACATACTAGCATCTGTGTGAGGATATTCAACTATTGAGAATTGATTTAGCCTAGCATAATGATTCCATAAATTTACTTTATAATGATGATTATGGAATCATTATTATTTCTACTGAAATCAATAGAAAGCTTGTATCACAGTAGCCATTCTTTGTTTTTCCATACATGGATTTTGTGTGCTTCAGATCAGGGTCAACTTCAAAGTTAGATGAAGTTTTTCTGGGCATCATCCTGCAAAGTTCTAAAAATGTCCAGGAATAGAGATTGTACCATATTTCTGGTACTGATGTACAGCTTTGACCTGTACATCACCCTCACTGAAGAGGATTTTAATGTTATCTCATCAGTCTCCCCTCTGTGATATTGTTTGCACATTGCCTCTTGTCCTTTTACTGTGCTTGTCTGAGAAGGGTCTAATTCAGTCTTTTCCATAACTTTTTATATGGAGACAATTATTAGAACACCCTATTCGAGCCTTTTCTCTACACTGAACAAATCAGGCTCTCTTAGGTCTTTTTGTTTTTATCAGGCTCCTAACTATCTGTAGCAGTTCTCTACTAAACTTGCTTCAGTTTAGCAGTTCAATTTATCAACATGACCAGTTTCCACCAGTTAATTCTCTCTACTTTGTGCTTAGCGCTCGATGGTTGTCTTTTCATGAAAACTAGCAAAAAGAGTTAAATAGAATGAGATAGACTTGATCAAACTACTCCTTTGCCCTGTAATAGAATATGGACTGTAAAACAAGAAATTTAAGCAGGAACCAGCCATAGCGTTGTATTCTACCACATGTAGTTTCAGCCAGGAAATCTTGCCTCCGTCTGTGAAGTATTCCCTTTACAATTTCTACGCTAAACAAAGAAACTGTATGTTGGACTTTTCTCCTGCTACCTTACCTCAAATTTCAGTAATGACTAAAGCAGGCATGTCTGGATTTATGGAAAATAATGCATTATTTAATATATGTTGAAACTAAGCTGAGAGGGAAAAAAGGGAAAATGGAAGAAGAGATGGGACTGTATTTGAAGGAACATACTACAGACTGAAGAAAGGATCTTTGTTATCCTAGAGTTTAAAAAGCAAGTCTTAATATTTAGTGGAGAAGGTCTTTTCATGTTGTCTTGTTTAACACAGAAATAAACATCTTTGCTGGATTTAATGGGTAAAATCAGTAGGTTTTCTTTGCTGATCATGTATTCACAGCTACAAAATGTTTTTGCCTAAATGTGTGCGAGCAAAAATCCAAGACTACCACATTTTGACCCGAAAGAGGATAAGGTACAGGTTCCGCAAATTTATACAACAGTTTGGCCAATGCAAAGCTACTGCCAGAAACTTGAAACTCAAGTATCTCATAAATCTGGAAACCCTTCAGTCCGCCTTCTATTCAGAGGTTTTTGAAGTAAAAGAACCTGGTGGAGATCCTTCTGGAGAAGAGAGTTTTGCAACTATTGTAATAACTGGAAACGGTGGAATTCAGTGCTCAAGAGGAAAACTAAAAGACTGTGAGACCCTGGCAGAGCAGGTACTTGCTTTGGGTATATCCACTTTATTATTTTAATAATTGTTCAGTTTATAATGTGACAGACTGATAAGCTTATGCTAGAATTAGTTAGATGGAAATGCATGGTGTCTTCAAATTCTCTTTGAAATCTGGGTTTTAAGAGCTACAAAATACATAAATAAATAAATACATTTCCCTGTACCTCTTTATTGCTGCAGTTGACTCCTACCAGTATCGAAGCTAGCAAATTTAAAGTGACATTTCTGTGACTGTGGAGTCTATTTACTCTTTGTTCAGGAATTATATACTAAATGGATGAATAACTTGTGGTAACCTTATGCCATTGCATTTTTATTTATCTGTATTGTTTCTTTTGTGTATGGTTTCTCTGCATGACTATTCTTTTGTCAAATTTACCAGAAGCTGATACTAACTCACAGCTGTATACCTTGAGAGTGTGGGAGTTTTCTAAAGATAAAATTAAAGGCAAAGTGAAGCAGATGTCAGTTTTTCAAAATAATTGCATCTGTTACATAGGCTGTTTTGATGCATAATGTGTAGCACTCAAGGCCAAACTGCAAAATAAGTGACATTTTTATGGTGTGCAATAATCTGTAAAAATGCCACCTTTTCCTAAAACATAAAAAAAAAGAAAAAAAAAAAAAAAGAAAAAAAAAAAGATTACATACACAGATATGCTAAGTTTCTTTTTCTTAAAATACTTGTAGATTGATGTTAGGTCCGGTTACCTCCTTCAAAGTTGTCATGTGCCAGCCCTCTGTCTTTCCTAATTGCCTGTAAGCACCAGCAATGTAGCTTCAGAGGGCAAGAGCTAATATAAATGCCATATTCCTGCAATTTCTGGTTGTAGGTGTATACAGAATTTATGCATACTATGCCGTTTGTGCATGGCAACCAAATCTTTAATCGGAACAGTGTCTGAATTGATCATTTTTCATATAGACACTTCAGAATTATTTTTCATAATTGATAGTATTAGCATCCTCACTTATTGACAAGATGTAGGCTGACTATATTTTCATTAGTACAGAAGCCATTTATAAAATTGGTTGTGAAAATTTAGTAAAGGAGTGAGTCTGCCTGTAAATGTGATCATAACTCTTCTTTCAGCAAATGGTACCGATGAAAATGTATTAAGATGTTGAATTGAAACGGGAATTTAATTTTTTTTTGAAGGTTTGAATGATATACATAGGGTAGGTTATGAGGAAATTTGTTTTGACAGTTCACATTTCCAACAGAGAAATTAATACAGTTTCAGGAACTTCAATTCATTTGAGCTGATTTATGCCTGCAGATAATCATGGCTGTAAGACTCAGTAGAGATATTATACCTGTTTATGTAGTAGGATATGCTTGCAGCCATATAAATGGGGTATTTTGGTTTGAATAAAATGTTTGCTTTGGAAAAATAATTTTAGATAGATACATATATCCTTATTTAAGGCAGTTTCTTAGCATCTGAAGTTCCACAGAAAACAAAACAAGATATGACTTATGTGACTTACAAAAGGACCAGTACAAGTGATATGGAATATCATAGTATCAAAAACTACCTGAACTTGACATTAAAGGAAAATGTCATCGATTTCCCATGTGGTTAGGACAGGTTCTTCCTGAACCTTTTTACCTACTCAGAGATGACTGTGGCTGAGAGGAAAATCTTCTCTTAGACCCTTTCACCATCCATTCTACATCCATCTCAGGTAGCAGATTTTGCAGCTTGTGTCCATGCAAATGAAGCCATGATGTTTTGGAATGTAACGGGCTATCCAGTCAGGATGCTTTAAAAAAAAAAAAAAAAAAAGAGAGAAAAATTGTGAATTGTCACAAAATTCCACTTTATGGAGCAAATATGGATATTTCCCTTCAAAGTTACTAGATCTTTGTGCATTTTTATTGGTGCTTCTAGTGAAGGTCCTATAAACACACGACTCCTTTCTTAAGTTTTAATTAATTAATTAAGCTTACACGTTTAGAGCTATAGGAATTCTAATGCTGCAAATAGGTGTTGTTTTTTTTTTCAGCTGAAGTTGATGTTGTTGTTAACCTTAAATAACCACCATTTATTGTAGGATTTACAAACATACTGTGATTTTCCTGATATCATTGATGTCAGCATTAAACAAGCAAGTCAAGAAGGCTCCAGTGAGAGAAGAATTGTGACCATTCACAAACAAGACAGCAAAAATCTGGTATATACATACTTCACTTGCCTATTTTTCTCAAATAGATGTTGCTTTGAGCAGACTGATTGCTATAGTATTTATGGTATTATATAGCCAGTCACCATGTTAAGCATGAGATAAAACTAAATGCATTTTGGCAATATAAACAGCCTATTACAAAATTGCTCAAAAGCCCAGAATCATAGGGGCTAGCTTGATGATCTGGAGATCATCAAGTCCATCCCTCCTGCTAAACGCAAATTCCCTACAGTAGGTTGAGCAGGAAAGCACCCGGGGGGGTCTTGAATATCTCTAAAGAAGGAGACTCCATAACCTCTCTGAGAACCTGTTTCAGTTCTCTGCCACCTTCACTATAATGAAGTTCAGAACTTAGAGCACTGAAGGACCTGTGCATGGACTGAAGTAGACACTTACCACTAAGGATGATTTCTGATACGCAGATTGGCTATTTTGTTTAGAGTCTTAAACCTGAGTCTGTGTTTTTAGCTATCAAGTGTACTGTTTGTATGATGTCATGGTATGCTAGCTGCCAGTGACCAACACATTGAAAAAGACTTCAAGATGCTCTGAGGGAATGATTATACATAGAAAATGTATATTTTCTAAAAGTGTAGGCACAAAATTAACATTGTTGCTTTCACTGTTTAAAATTAGATGAAGGTCTTGGGAAAGAATGAGTACATGAGTGTAAAACAGAATACATGAGCATAAAAAATTGAGTTTCAGTTTGAACTCCAGCAATACACTTGAATCAGACTTTCCAGCAGGAGCAAGTGCTACATAATTGTTTCTTCCGTGACTGGTTTATGGGTCTTCAGGACCATGATCTCTACCTTTGTGTGTCCAGAGGGCTTCCTGCTACGTGTGTAAAAAAAAAAAAAAAAAAAAAAAAAAGCTGCGTACAGCTTTTCTGCACTTCTTTGTAAAAGTACTACTACTAATAATAATAAAATAAGAGCATTGATCATTTTTTTAAAAATACTTCTAATGATTCTTTGGACAAGAAGACATATGGTTTACTTTTACTTATGGTCAAATTGTGATTCACAATCATTTCATGTGTTAATGGGTTAGAATTAATGACTAATTAGAATTAACACTAAGAATTTAAATTCTTTTCAATGTTTTTAATTGAAAAAGGGAGGATATCTGTGATATATATCTATGATGCCAGGAGTATAAAAATATTTTGGATAGGTGAAGGAGAATTCTTTAACCTTGAGCCATGAAAGTTCTCTTAAATTCTCAATACCAATAGAGCAAGGTTCTTGACTGCATATGTTTCTGAGGATAAAAGTAACTTTCTAAAAGCTTGTCGAAAAAAGCTCCTGAAGAGTAAGACAGAGTAGGAAAATGAAGTACAGCAGCTTCTGTGTTGCTTATGACTTTCCTGTGGACATTTTGCACATCAGAGTTAGCTGATGTCTAAACTACATTTTGTGATTTAGTTTTTTACCTGTTACATCACTAAAATTCATTATAAAAATGTATTTCACACAGTTTTAGGATACATGGCTCAATTAAAATCGCTGGAGTTGTAGATGTGTTGTTTATGGGGTTTTCCAATCCGGTTGAAACAACTGGAAAGACCGTTGTTTACAGGTCCACTGTAAGATAGAATCTGAAGATTCCAAACAAGTTCTTTGCACTTGATCAAGAGCACCGTCTTTTTTTGTTGCTGGCTGGCAGAGAAGTTGCCAAGGACTCATGTACAGCCACTATGTGCGTCTGTCCCCAGAGTCATGGGGAAGCTTGTGCAGCATGTACTAATAATGCTGATTGGCTATGCTGCCGAATGAAATCTAGTCCAACTTTGTAGATAATGGAATAACACTTCTCAGCTGAAGTGAAGAGAGCCTTTAATGCTCTCATCCAAGTGTCTTGGTTAAGGAAATAGGGATAACTAATAGGGATAACTAAAAGAAAATAGTTTTTTTATGTATTTGGTAGTAATAAATATGTAGTGACAGATTTAATCTTGCACTGCTCTTACCTATGAAAGTATTGCGTATAGACCTTTACCATACCCAATTTTCTTTTGACCATGTTATTCTCCTCTCTGCTTCCCTCCATTGCACCTCTCTTCACAGTGGTCAAAGGTCAGCTTCTCTCTTTGGTCCAGTTTAAGTTACTAGCTCTTGGTGATGACTAGATAAATTTTCAGAAATTTAGAATTTTTTTTCAGAAATTTAGAATTTTTTTTCAGAAATTTAGAAATTTTTCTTTACTACTTGAGTGCAGCCCCATAGATCTTTGATGAGTAGAGGCTTCCCTTTAGGAAAAAAAAAAATTACTGTGCTGCCAGTGCGGTAGGTGTTTGCCATGCTGAACAGTATCTCCTCAGTTTTTCCATTTCAGATGTTCTCTCTTGTCAGCATCCCTTCCTACTTAATGTATTTAAACTAAGGTTTTTTTTATTTGTTTGTGTGTGGTTTTGGCAGATTTGTTTTGGGTTTGAATTTTGAATGTTGAATGTAGCTGACAAGTTTTGGGCACCTAGGAGGTAGAACTATGTAAACAGTAGTTAAAAACATTCTGGATGTATATAATGTACACGCATTTGTATCTGTTATACTATTGCCATATCCAGGAATTTTGCGTTGCCTATTATGAATTTAAATTCTCATTCTCGTTCTCTCTCCCTCTTTCTCTCTCTCTTTTTTTTTTTTTTTTTCTCCTCTCTTGGCAATTTAACAGGAGGCTGAATTTCAGTCTTTAAAGGAAGCTCTCTCCTTTGTATCGTTAATTGATGGATATTACAGATTAACTGCAGATGCCCACCATTATCTCTGTAAAGAAGTAGCACCACCATCAGTGCTTGAAAATATCCAAAGCAACTGCCATGGACCAATTTTGTAAGCAATTTTTCAGCAGTATAACAAGTTGCTATTATTTTTGAAAGATTAACTTTAGCTGATTGCAAACCATGAAGGACATCCTGAGATGTGTATTTATTCCATTCAAGTAACATAAAATGCTTTACATTCTTGCTTTTATTTTTCACTTTACAGAATGCAATACCTTCTAGATGTATTATTAAAAGTGAAATGAAAGATTGTAGTTTTAATTTCTCCCCTTAGAATTCATTTTTTTCTTCAAATGAGACAGACAGGAAAATCATGGTGCTGATTTTTACTGAATTACAGTTATAATCAGGGCAGCAATGTATAATGTCATAGAGGATGTTATATTTTCACTGCATCCTCTAGCAATTACAGTATTTGAGGAGTAAAGGGGAAAAAGACAATTCAATACCATTCTCTTCAGGGTTCCTGCAGGAAGGCAAAGATTACAGTAAACTGTAATAAACTACTGCTAACCATATAAGTAGGAGGGTTTATTTCATTGTCTCCTTGTTCAGTTTTGCTGTACTTTCAGGGAAGAAATTAACTGCTTTATATATATATTTTTTAACAGTTCATATAATATTGTTCTTTTTTTTTTTTTCTCTGAGGCACACATGAGAACTTAAAAATATTTTGTTATATAGAAGAAAAAATGGGTATTTGCTTTAGCTACAGGAAGTTTGAAAAGAGAAATGCAAGATATATTCCATAAAACTATCACTGTCCTACTCTGCTAGTACAGAATGCTTCTGGAATTCTTCCAGTGACAGTAAGAGTGCTGTAACTTTCGGAGGATATGAAGGAAGAGAAGAATAGAGATGTCTACAGTTCAAATCCTGTTTCTTGCACCTTGCAAACCTAGACTAATGCTGTATATTGATATTTATTTAGGGCTGTTTAGAAGGATGTGCCGTGAGCGTAGACCTTTCCAAGCCATTCTGTTCCTCATTCCCTGAGATGGATGAAAATAGTTAGCAAAGACTTGTTAGAGTGAGATTATTTCTTGTAATAATAAATGAAGTTTTCTTTTTCATATCCTATTTCTTGTTAGCCTTTTCCCAAATTAAATTAGTCATTTTCTGTGCAAATACTTCTCTAATTTTAGGTTGGTTGTTAGGCAGTTTTACCACAGCTTATTCCATGAAGGAGGCTGGAATTCATATCATAAACCTAGCAGAATACTTAAGTCTGCAAAGTTTCACATCAGGTAGATCACTGTGGTGTTTTCAGTATTAAGAATTTTTAGTATATTCTTCTATACACAAGCAGCCCCCCACCTATTATTGGAAGATAAATAGACAAAAAGATTACCTTAAAGGAGATTCTAAAACAAAGAACTTGAATTGGCCTTATATTAGGTATCTCATAATAGTGTTCATCAGTCAATATCTAATCTTTTTTTTTTGGAAACTATGCAATATTAAACACTTTCTTTCTACTATAGCATGGACTTTGCTATCAGTAAACTGAAGAAAGCGGGTAATCAGACTGGCTTCTACGTTCTTCGTTGCAGTCCTAAAGATTTTAAAAAATACTTCCTCACCTTTGCGATAGAGGTTTGTATTCTGTCATAAATGGTATTTGCAAAATGTCTATTGCATTACAACAAGGAGTATGATGTGCAATAAATGATTGTGTGTCCTGTTCAAGATGTTCATGTGATGTGTGTATTTATTGTACTGCTTACTTGTATCAGGACAACTTTCAGGGTTGTGTGAGAAACATACCAAAATGCATTCATGGTAAAGAATTCACTAATGGCACATAATATACACCCTGAAGATCAAGAGAGGGAGTTCTGGGTTTGGGACATGACTGTTGTGCTGTTGTAATTGCTGAGGTGGTGGTGTGTAGTTTTCTGATCGTGGGTTGTTTTTGTTTTTGTTTTTTTTTCCACCACAGTTAGGCTAAGGTAGACACTGTTGATTCCCATGGTGATTTGAGAGTGTCTGTCCTTCTAGGTTTAGGTCTTGTCTCCCATCCACTGTGCTGGGCTAGTCAGATTATCTGGCAACTGTTGTATCAAGACAGATCTGTGTAGGATATCTGGTGTAAGTTAGGGTGGAAGCCATGCTTGAAATACCTGCTGTTCTCATGCTACTAAAGAGCCAGATGTACTTCTGCTCTATGAGATTGCAGTTAGTGATAAATACAGCACTTTAATTTTGCTGTTACATAATTACATGATCTTGTTCCAGTATTTATTTTGTGCCAAAGATGGGCTTCTTTTAATTAAATTAACAGAGCTACGTTGTGTTTGTAACTAGGGAAGGTAGTAATATATGTATTTTCCTACTTGTTTGCAGCAAGCTTTAAAATTTGCTAAATACTGTCAGAAGTATGTAAATATCTGAAAATGACAAAATAATGTGGATGCATGGATGGAGAAGTAAACAGCCCTTTTGAGACCAGTTTCAGTAAAATTATATATCCTGTCAGTGAAGTGTGTTTGGTAGAATTTTTTTAGGCTGAGATATCACTTTGACTCAAGGCATGCTCAAAGTCTGAGAGTCAATCCAGCCATTAATTGACCTGGTCATGTGTGGTTTTTTTTTTGTTTGTTTTTTTCCTTGTTGTTATTTCTGGGCAAGCATTTGAGATTCAGAATTTGTTGGAACATTTTTTCACAGCATTTATATGAAGAACCATGAAAGTGCCATTAAGAAATCCTGTCACTTAAAAATATCGAATGAGATTTTCTCAAGGTTCACTTCAGTGCATACTGAGAATTTGTACTAAGAACTAATTGCTTACAAATGCAGGATAGACAGCAGAAAAAGTTATTGCTTCCAACATTTTTTTTTATTTTATTTTATTTTTTTTAAGATTACCCCTTGCAACCTTGAAAGGGGTGAAGAAATTTTCATTACTAGGTCTGAAGGACCATTCCTATGATTCTTTATCTGTTTTCTCAGCTCCATCTTTGCAGATTCAGTAATGTTTGTGCTTAGCATCAGCATACTAACTCTAGTGATGAGAGTAGAATCTAGTTTTCTCAGAATCATTATTACATTGTGAGAACAAAATAACAAATTGTGGTAATATTTTGCTGAAGCATTCTTTCTTCAGTTAGAAAAATGCTGTGCATTTAAATATTTTCTAAAGTACTAAATATTGATCTATTTTCTTTTAATGGGAAAAAAATCTCTGCAGCGTGAGAATGCCACTGATTATAAACACTGTTTGATTACGAAGAATGAGAATGGGGAATATAATCTTAGTGGAACCAAGAGAAGTTTTGGTAATCTTAAGGATCTGTTGACCTGTTACCAGACAGAAACTGTCCGTTCAGACAGCATAATTTTCCAGTTCATCAAATGCTGTCCACCAAAACCAAAAGGTAAGAGAAGGTACCTTATTTCCAAACAGGAGTGTTTTCAAGTTTTTGGTTAAAGATTTTAAAATAAAGCAACAGATAAATGACTCTCAGTTAAGTAGATGTATTGGCTTGTGTGGGTTCTTTTTATTTCACTTACCTATTTGTTCATCTTCTTGGTCAGAGTTTCCAGTCATACTGTCTGCCAAATTTTACTTCATTATGACGTGGTCTTTCAGAAGAAATTGTAGTAACTATCACAGTTTCATTATTAGAAGTAAAACCAGTTTCTTATTTGCAGTGGATTGTGTGCAAAAGCATTTCTTCTGCAATCAAGTGTTTTCAAGTCTTGAAAGGGAAAGAACTACTAAAAGTATCATTTCTCACTGTGGATAGATCCAAAAGCAATAGAAACAATAATGGCATGTTTCCAGAGAATTTTTTTTAACTGATTGTTGACATCTGAGCTGAATAACGCCAAGGCTGCACTGTGATTTAATCTTCTCTTAACACTGAAAAGTACACACTGAATAGTCCCTGCCAGAGGAGTGGATTTTTCTTTAGTTTTATTAAATGTTTTCCTTTATACTATACGGATTTTTGAATAAATTGGTATCAGTGAATATCTTATTTTTGTTAGATAACACCTTCTCATTAATAATCTTTCTGAAACAATATATTAATATATAATAGTTTTGTGTTGTATAACTTTATTTTCTTTATTCTCTTTCTTCTCCCAGATAAATCAAATCTCCTAGTCTTCAGAAGTAATAGCGTCTCTGATGTACCTTCATCACCAACGCTACAGAGGCACAATAACGTCAACCAGATGGTCTTTCACAAAATCCGGAATGAGGACTTAATCTTTGTAAGTCCGTTAGTTGCTTCTTTAACTGCAGATTGTTGGTTTAGTATATACTAAATTTTTAGAACTCAATATCTGTTTAAAAGAATCTTATCTGAACTAAGAGATTTTGCTCTAATCTTTCCTTAAAGAGGAAAGTAATTTTTTAATCTTTCTATTATTATTGATATTATTTTGTCCTTTTGACTGCGGTAGTGGTTGTTGTTTTCTGTACTTCAAGGGATGTCTAAATATATCTTCATAATAGCAACTCCTTCCTCTCTGGTTCTTGCAGCAATTTATTTCCTGAGACCCTTGACAATCAATATTTTTTAAAAAATGAGCAAAGACTAGGTTGCTTCTTTGTCCCCTTAATCTGACTCTAGAGGTGTGCTAACTGTACAGTTTTGCATACATGCGTTACTTAGAGTGGAAGTTTTACACCTTTCACAGAACAGGTAGAGATTTCTCATTTTCCCTGTCCTTTTTTTTTTTTTTTCTTTCAGGAAGAGAGTCTTGGACAGGGCACATTTACTAAGATATTCAAAGGTACAAGGAAAGAAGTGGGAGACTATGGCCAGCTCCATCAAACTGAAGTTCTTTTAAAGGTGCTGGATAAAGTGCATAGAAACTACTCTGAGGTTGGTGTGATTTTTGGCTATTGTATAATATTTGTCCATCCTGTGTTACTTTTATTACAAAGAACAACTTGAACGTGTTATGTGGCAGAGGGTTGTTTGTTGAACCAAGCTCATTCTCGGCCTTGAGACAATGGGATTGAGACTTGCTCTGAGAAGTACACCTGCGTGCTTTGTTTCCTCTCTCCTTACTTTCAGAGAAGTCATAGCTAGCCACAGCCAGCCAGAGAATAGTTTGCTTGTTTTTTTGTTTTTTAGTTTTTTTGTACCATGCAGGTAGTACAGGAAAAACAGTTTGACCGCAGAATTACCTGTATCAGTAAATTCATTATATACAGACAAGGTACCAACAGTTAGAAAAAATACTTTCTCTTGATTTACTATCTTCAGTTTTTTTGGCATATTACAAATTCTCCAATAAAATAGACATTTCACATCAAGTCATAAAACATCAGAAATATTAATGTATGACACACACCCATTTGTAGATTCATCCATATTCAGTTAGGCTTCTCAGTCTTTGAGTGAAGCTGTGAGCAAACCTGAAACACTCTTCTGTACAAACCAGTACTCTGGTAATATAATTAATTTCAAGACTCAGTATGGGAAAATTTAATTTTAAAGAAATTAATAAATGCGGTAATTTTCACTGTTTATTATATATTTTGGTTATGTAATCATTTCAAATTCCTAATTACCCTGACAGTATTTTCAGCAAGCCAAGAGAGCCAATCTGGTATTCAGTGAACTTTTCAACTGCTTAGTGCGAATTCTATATTAAAATCTAAACAAAAAGGAAAAGACATTTTCAATAGCTAATATTCATAAGCATTGTATAGACATACACTTAATATTTGAAAACAATAAGCAATATCCTGTATTTGAATTTAGAGAAGTTAACATTTTCAAGTTAAGTGAAAATCAGATGTTAAAGGTACCTTAAGAATATAAAAATATAATCACCTGAAGGAAAACAAGCTAATTTTGACCTCATCTTCCTGGGGAAACAATCAGTACACAAGCAAGCTTAGCTGGAGATACAACTGAAAAGACTAAAAAAATGGCTAAAGAAATAAGTGTCTGAAACTTTCCTGAGGAGGTCAGGTAAGGGCTCACAGTATTGGACAAGTGATATAATAGTTCTTATCTTTTAACTTAATAATGTTCTGTGAAGAAATAAATTGGAAACTGAATAGTGCATTATGAAAGATTAAATTGGAAACTGAATAATGCATCATGAATTTGTGCATTGTTTACTTAGTTGAGATAGAAGATGATTCTCTTTAAAATGTGGAGATACACCTGCCTGCAGAAATAAAGATCACTAACCTCTCTGGAGTGTGGATTGTTATTTAAAAGAAAACAAAAACAAAACACAGGGTCTTTGCATTGAGATAGGAGTTGAAATGGTTTTTAAAATATCCATGGTTTTAACAAAGTTTTTAGAAATAATGTATTGGAGTTTTGCTTTCACTGATTTATTCTCTCTTCTTTCTAAGTCCTTCTTTGAGGCAGCAAGTATGATGAGCCAGCTTTCTTACAAGCATTTGGTATTAAATTATGGAGTCTGCGTGTGCGGAGAGGAGAGTAAGTAGAAATAACTTGCTTTTTTCACTAATTTTATACAGCTGTCATTAGAGTTTGCTGTTGGAACCTTGTAAAAACAGGGAAAAAATTAAAACAACCTGTTCCCCACAAAAACTCTACAAACGTTAATAATAGTAAAAATTTATTTTCTGCAGAATTAGAATGTCTGTTTAGTTTAACCTACTGCATTGTAACTATTTATTAGTATGTTTCTAAAAACACCCGATATGGAACATCCATCTATATGATGATGGAATATCAATCCTCATAATGAAATCTTAATTTTGGACATCTGTCCAATTTTTGTGTGCTGCCTTTGAATTCACATTGCTGGATCTCGCTTTAACAGTTTCTGTCTTAATTCAGTCTTTGGCAGAGATGCCAGTTTGCAGTAAAAACATGTTTTTTTCTGTGATTAGCAATCTGTAACAAATTGAAGCATTTTTACAGTAACTGTTTATTATGTAGACAGCAGGCTCCATTCAGAGAGAGGGCATTTGCAAAACAGGCGGGGGGTGTTCTAGTGGACGTCACTTCTCTTAGCAGGTTGGAAAAGGCAGCATAATGTTTGGATGAGAACTTACAATACCACTTTCTTTAAAAAAATAAAAATAAAATTGCTTTCATACTTTATTCATGGAATCATGTACAAGGACAATATATAAAATCAAATGTAAGGAGTGTATCGTTTTGAAATAAACAAAAAGAACAAACTAGTTACCTAAGAATGGATGCGGTTGCTTATTTTTCCTTTAGAGCACAGTTGTCATCCATAGTCTGTTTTAATTCTGGAGACAAGAGGCTTGCTACATTTTAGCAAGAGGCAGAAATTTAGCAGAGGCAGAAATGGGAAGAGAAACTGTCATATTTTATTCCGTGTCAGACATTTGATGTACAGATTTGAGAATAATTTCTTCATGTAATCGTGTTGTTCTTAAAAAAAAAAAAAAAAAAAAATCCAACTACTAAATAAACATTGTGAAAATCAGTTTGTTTTCATTAACTAAATACAATACTGGTAGTTTCTGGTGTCTTCAGAGTCTAAAAAGCATGGCAATGTGAGCATCCTCTCTACAGTTTCCTGAGGACAGGAAGCAGAGAGGCAGCTGCCAGTCTATCAATGATGACAAGACGTGTGGGGATGGCACAAAGCAGCACCAGGAGAGATTCAGACTGGACATTAGGAAAAATTTCTGTTCCGTGAGGGTGGCCAAACCCTGGAGCATGCTTCCTAGAGAGATGCCCCAAACCTGTCAATGTTCAAGAGAGATTTGGATGTCTTTATTAGTATGTTTTACCCTTTGGTCAGCCCTGAAGAGGTCAGGCACTAGATGATCTTTGAAGGTCCCTTCCAAATTAACTGTTCTATTTGATTCTATTCTAATCTTGCAGCTGAAGGCAAGAGTTCAGTCATGCAATTTGAAGCTTTGTATAGGAAGTGTTGAAGACTGTGTAGCAGTATGAAATTGATCTTGTTTTGTGGGTTATTTGCTGCATGACTGCATGGAGACATGTGTCATACATATACGTTTGTTTTTTAGTGCAAATTTTTATTGGTCTGTTTTTAAGACCATCTTGTTTCAGGAATAAAAAAAAAAAAAAACAACACCAAATTTTCCAGTAAGATTGCAGACTGTAATCAACTAAGAAATGAGTGACTTGAAATTTTGACTTACTACATTCATGTTACTGTGCAGTACTGTGCTTGTCAGAAGCGACATTATTTGTTGTGCCTGTGGAGTGAGGATGGATGCTCACCAGATTTGTTAAGGCTGAAACCTATTTTGCAAAAGAATGATTTATTAGCTCTTGTAATTTTGCATTTTAGAAGAAATTAGTCAAAATTTAGCACCCTGAAGAAATGTAAATAGCATAGAACATTTATGGCAATATTAAGATGTCATATAAGCTTCAATTTATAGTGAATTCACCAATATGTATCAAAGAAGGTGGTCTGTAATGCTTGGATAATGTGTCTGCCTGAAATTTCATTTATTTTCTGTTAACTGTTACTCTTTTAACATTTTAAATCAGATATCCTTGTACAAGAGTATGTGAAATTTGGATCCTTGGACACGTATTTGAAAAAGAACAAAAATGTTATCAATATCGTGTGGAAGCTGGAAGTAGCCAAACAATTGGCATTAGCTATGCATTTCCTGGTGGGTAGTTTATTCTTCAGTTTTGTTAGTGGTTGAATTCAAGTGTTCCAGGTTAATGTATATAGAAGGTCTAAGCCATTACCCTACTTCTTGAAACTAAATGGGGATTGTGAAAATAAGATGACATTTGTGAATAGCCAAGGACAGACCTTTGTACAATGTGCAAAATGTATTTTTTTTCTCATTTTTTAAATACTTCTTCATTCATTGTGAAATAAAAACACTTTTCCAGCAATAATTCTGGAAAAGTTATTTCTCCAGCAATAATTTTCTTCCTGCATTTTCCACCTCAGCTAATGGTTCTGAACATATAAACGCTTTCCTGGTAGTGTTAGTAGCTAACCACTGGAAGGAAAAAGTGTTTCCCTGTTAAAAGGGCCAGTACATTCTTTTTGCGCATTAGGTACCAATCTTCTATCAGTTTAAATGAGCATAAAGACCTTTATTTGAAACAGGATATGTGATTAGATTAATTTTCCTTTTAACAGAATCTAACTGTTCTTTTAGGGACATGGTTTAGTGGCTGGCACTGGTAGTAGGGTAATGGTTGGACCAGATGAGCTTGGAGGTCTTTTCCAATCCTTATGATTTTATATGTATCATATATAATGATAGCTATTAACTCAAAAGTTTATGTAGATAATTAAAATGAAAGTAATTTGGCTAGAAGCTGTTAACTTTGAGAGGAACTGGTGAAAGTTCTGAAATTTGGTATGCCTATCTATGATCATTATTTGTTTTGTTTCCCTCATGCTGGGAAGTACTGATTTTTCCTTTTCAAAGGTAGACAAAAAAAAAATCTATATATAAAAGATGCATTTCTGTTCATCAGGAGGATAAAGGCCTTGTTCACGGAAATGTCTGTGCAAAAAACATCTTGCTTATCAGAGAGGAAGACAGGAAGTCTGGAAACCTTCCATTTATAAAACTAAGTGATCCTGGCATCAGTATTACAGTTTTGCCAAGAGACAGTAAGTCTTTGTGTCAACTTCCTTGTTTATTGCTTATGACTTGAAAATTAAGCTTTTTTTTTTTTTTCTTGTTACCATTGCTGTCATAATAAGTTACTTCATTCTTCTATCCCTTTAAAATAATCCCTGCAGTTCTAGTCAGCTGTCACACAGTTATCCATTGTGGAAGTGTTTCCTGCTGTCCTCAATCTGAAGAAGTATTTTTCACTGGTAGTGCTATTAGTATACTATAATGTACCACAAGTAAGCGTGCAGGTTGCTGCTGGAGTAAGTATCCTATTATTGATCAGGATTCAATTGAAAATTAAGTTAAATTATCTCCACTGCATTTCTTCTTGAATACCTGAAGTCACTGACGATGCTAAAAGTAAGCCTCTGCCACTGAGGCTGTTTCATTGCTTTATAAACAGCAAAATTAATTCAGTCTAGAAGAAACATATAGTGTGTGCAAGATCATTATGCTTGCAAGATCATTATGCTAATGAAATTGAAGTAATATTATTCTTTATATAGTCTTTTTAATGGAAAAACAAACATACTTTAGGTTTGTTGATTCTATAGATACCAAAAGAAGTAATGCACCTAAGATACTATAAGCAGCGCAGTGCTATTAGTTTCCAATTAATTTTCCCCCTTTTAATATAAGAAGCCTTCATTAATCTTACAAGATCTCACTTTAAGAAGCTTTAAATCTGCATCAGCGCAATACCATATTTAAGCCTGTTACTAGAATCAGTACCAAAAGTTCAAAAATCAAAAAGTAGGGAATTTCTCACTGTGGCTCCTTTATATTGCTGCGCCATAATGTGTCAACAACTAGTAAAGTACTTCCAACTCTTTGCAATCTAGTTACTTCACGGCAACTACTAAACCCTGATAACCTTGGGGAAAATGTTAAATTAGAGCAAAAATATAATTTGAAAATAAGGTTTACAATTTTTGACAACATTAGTCTAATTTTATAATAAAATCAATGATTCTCTATTCGGTTTCATAAGTATTATTTTTATAGATATTCTGTAGCATTTTCTAGGAAAGAACAAAAACTTGGAAAGGCATTAAAAACCTCTCACAGAATGAAATACCTATGTATACTAAAATAATTTTTACTGAATCAAATATGTTATAAAATTTTCTAGTTTTATTATTGATCTTAACATGTTGTTTCTATTGTGCAACTGCACAGTTCTTCTTGAAAGAATACCATGGGTTCCACCTGAATGTATTGAGAATCCCAAACAATTAAGCCTGGCTACAGATAAATGGAGTTTTGGTACTACTTTGTGGGAAATCTGCAGTGGAGGAGACAAACCTCTGAGTGCACTGGATTCTTCAAGGGTAAATATTACTGGATCTTCAATAATAAGTTGGATACTTAAAACATATGCTGCTGTACTACTCTCTAAAATGATTTATAGTATAAAAGGACCACTATTTCTTACAAAGTCTGATCCAGTTTCCCAGGTGTTGTAATCAGCTCTTACAACAAACTCCAAGGTCTACTTTAGACATAGCTTTTAGATATGTGTATTTCAGAAGTTGCCCTCCTGTCTGCTACTAATCCACATGCTTTTGTAATAACAATGAAGCTTTTTATATCTAAAGAAGCTCACATAGCCCAAAGATGGACAAATCTTTCTGTTGGATTCATCCAATTTAGGATTCATGAAATTACCAACAAAGGAGACACCATCTTTCTCATTATCTTTCTCTCTTACCTTCCACCAGTAACTGCCTGGGAATTTTTCAACTCATTACTCTAAATTCTGCCAGTTTTGCTACATTGTCAGTCTTGGCTTTTGATGTAAATTGGTCAGATGTGCACGTTGGTGAGATAAAAAGCCTAGGCTGAGAGCTGTATTTTTTGGTTGCTTTGGTCAGAATGTTATGGTTACCGCAACTCTTTGTGGCAATATATTAAAGTGTTTTTTATCTCTCTTTAATTACAGAAACTACAGTTTTATGAGGATAGACACCAACTTCCTGCACCCAACTGGACAGAGCTAGCAAACCTTATAAACAACTGTATGGATTATGAGCCAGATTTCAGGCCTTCATTTAGAGCAATTATACGTGACTTGAATAGTTTGTTCACTCCAGGTGAGTCCAAGTCTGTGATACAACAAGAATACACTAGACAAAAAGAACCCTGATTTCTGTTGTTTCACTTTCACATAGTGTGTTCAGTTTTGGGATGTTAATCTACAACCTCTTTGGAAAGCAAACACATAAGTTAGCAATATTATATTACTACTGTTTAGGTTGCTCTGAGAGAATACATTAAAAGGTAGCATTATTATTCAAAGCAGTTTTTTGGTTTGATTAGTATCTATCTTAAATTTTTTATCTCCTAACCACAAATACTTGTGAAGCTGTTTTGTCTCTGAAAATAAAAAGACATTTATTTTATTAAGAGAAAGATGCATGTTATCACAAGCACTTGTGAGGTTTTCATTTCTCTCCTCCACAGCTGTGGGGTCACTGCACAATAGCTGTTAAACTGAAGTACAATAGGCCTTTAAAAAATTGTATTTGGAAATTATAGCAAGACTCACTGTGAGTTAAGAGAAGGTATTTGGCTGTTTGGTAATAGCTCTTTGTCTCTATGGCTGGAAATTACTATGTAGAAATTAGGGGGATTGTTAATACTCCACTAAGCTCAGGGTATGCCTAACAGAGGTAGAACATGCATTGTAATATTCTTTTTCATTCTCCTTTTCTGCTTCTCTGTGCTTTCTTCTCCCTTTATTTATTCCTCCTTCCCCTCAGATTACGAGTTATTGACAGAAAATGATATGTTGCCAAATATGCGAATTGGCGCACTTGGATTTTCTGGGGCTTTTGAAGATCGGGACCCAACACAATTTGAAGAAAGACATCTTAAGTTTTTACAGCAACTTGGCAAGGTAGGTTGTTTGGAAATTCTCTAAATGCCCAGAAAAGAAACATCTTTTTCAGTTATCTTCTGATGACCCCATATACGTGTGACGTTGAACACTTCAATTACAGAAAGTAATAATCTGAGTCACAACACGATTTTCAAGTTCCTTTCAATTCTTTTTTCAGTTTCACAAGGTAATTAGATAGGAAAAAGGTGGCTGGTCTCTACAATGAATCCAGTCACATTGAAAGGCTAATTTCTCCAATTATTTCCTAATAATGCTGAGCTGTTGTTGTGGTTTAACTCATCAGGCAGCTAAGCACTATACATCTTTTTGTGTACTCCACACCCCTGCAGTGAGATGGGGGAGACAACTGGAGTGTGTGTGTGTGTAAAACTGATAAAGACCGTTTATTAGAACAGAAAAGGAAAATAACGATGATGATAATACACAAAGCAGGTAATGCACAATGCAATTGCTTACAACCCACTGACTGATGTCCAGCCTGTCTCTGAGCAGCAGCCCCCTACCCCTGGCCAACCACTGCAGTTTTTGTTCAGTATTACATCATATGGTATGGACTATCCCTCTGGCCAGTTGGGACCAGCTGTTGTGGTCATGAACACTCTCACATTCTTGTGCACCCCCAGCATCCTCATTGGCAGGGCAGCATGAGAAGCAGAAAGTCATTGTCTCTGTGTAAGCACTGTTCTGGAATAACTAAAACATAAGTATGTTATCAGCATTATACTTGTCCTAAACCCAAAACACAGAACCCGATCGGCTATTAGGAAAAAAATAAACTCTATGCCAGCCCAAACCAGGACAGCTGCATCTGAAACTCGTTTTTTGTCAGATGTGATTCATTTGAAATTGTTCCAGAGTAATCTTGCATAGAACTAGTGGGATTTTTTTTTTGTACGTGCATATTCTGGGATATCTACATATACAGTCTCTGAACTCAGTAGTGTGTTTGAGATATACGTAAACCTTGAACATTTTAGACTTTAGAAGTCATCATTTCACTGCTAGTTTTGCAAGTCATTGCAGGCTGGCTGTGGAAAGCATGCCTAGATAGATGACTTAGTGCAGCTGACAGTGTTACCAAAGTATCATTTTTCCAGAATGGTCTCTTGCTTTTTTGTATTACTATTAGCATGATAGATACGTATTCATTGGACTCCAAGTACTAGCGAAAACAAGTCTGAACGCAAAGTAGCAGAACTGCTTTTATTTGCAGATGATTGTTGACTTTAAACAACAAAATGGCAGAGGGAGAGGAACAGAGTTGTAGGTAATGACTGCAAAAAAGAAGGTAAAGAAAATCTGAACAGAGAGAAGGAAGAAAGTAGAACAGAGAAACAGGTTGGGAAAAACTAAAACAAACAAGCAAACAAAACACAAAAAAACAGCCAGGAGAAGCCTTAATGTGATGTGGTTTTGCAAGTTCAGGAAAAGAGCTATCTCAGAAGGTGTCATGGAATTGTAGATAGAAATTTGTGGAGAAGGGGGAGAAAATAAATGTAGGTCACCCTCCTTTCCTCCAGTGCAGTTTGCTTCCTTTCATAGAGCGTGTTTATTATAGACAGTTGTTATGGAGCTGTGACCTGTGATCCTGCACTCCTACCTTTTTTCAGGTAGGGTTTGTGGTATTTCACTTAAATAATTGTCTGGTATTACATAAAACTTATTACATAATTGCATTATTTAATGCTAGTACATTGAGCACTGAGGCTATTATGAACATTTATTAAGAAAGAGAATGGTGTGGACTCATTTGTAATTCAAATACTTCTACTTCTGATCTAGGGAAATTTTGGCAGTGTTGAGATGTGCCGGTATGACCCCCTACAGGATAATACTGGAGAGGTGGTGGCTGTGAAAAAGCTGCAACATAGCACAGAAGAGCACCTTAGGGACTTCGAAAGAGAAATTGAAATACTTAAATCTCTGCAGCATGATAACATTGTTAAATACAAAGGAGTGTGCTACAGTGCAGGTATGTGCTATACTGAATACACCGTCAGCAATGCACCTAAGCATGCATACTGCGAGAAATTCAGAGAAATAAGTGTTTATGAAAGTTACCCATTTTCTTTATCTTAAAGTATGAAAGTCTTCCTAGAAATTAATTTGGGGTTAAGTAGGAAAATGTAACCATTTTTTAACTGTTGTTTTTTTGTCACTTAATGTGATGTTCCAGAGTGGATAATATCACTTCTCATACAGTCTGTATAACAGGAGACAGGAAGAAATTTCAGAAACAGATTTATTTGAGTTAATTGTTCATGGTGTTGAAAATGAGTGAAAACATGTTTTTTTGCCCAAGGTCTTACTATAAGAAAAAAAAAAAAACAAAAAACTTGTGTTCAAAATCTGACTAAGTTTTAAAGATGGTAAAATTGCAGAACAGATGATGTCAGTTACTATTCTGAGTTTTACCTCAGCAATGAAGAGGAATTATATAAAACAAAGACACATATGGGTGGGATTTCTGCTTTGCTTTAGCAATAGAAGCTGAAGTCTTGATGAGGTGATATGGATCCACATTATTGCTATGTTTAAATAAATGGCATTTCTTTAACAAATGCAGTTAACTAACCAATGAAAAATTGCTTAGTGATGAACATATAATAAATTGTGTGTTTTGGTACTAAGACTTCTCTATTACTTTTATTTGTTTGTAAACACCTATTTCAAAACTTTGCATTGGAAAATGACAGAAAAATTATATGTGTTTTTTTGCTGTTGTCATCAAAGGTCGTAGGAATCTGAGATTAATTATGGAGTATTTACCGTATGGAAGTTTACGAGATTATCTGCAGAAACACAAAGAAAGACTGGACCACAAGAAGCTTTTGCTGTATGCATCTCAGATATGCAAAGTAAGAGGGCTTTCAGATGATTAATATTTTTCAACAATATCTCTCCATTTTGTACATAAATCAATTGTTTTGATATATCCCTTATAATAGTGTTGGGCTGCTAGCAAAGCATAGACCTTACAAAATAGCAATGCATATTCATATATTCAAGAACATTACAAATTTCTGAGTATCTCAGTGGTATTGACTCATCCATCTGCTAACTGAGGGAGAATATTTACCATTTATTTTACTGTTTGTTTAATTCATATTTTCATTCTGAAGAATTAAAAACTCTTTTATTCCTAATGAGAGCTGGAATAGAATTTTGGAAGAGTTCATATGCTTGTCCAAGCAAACACTTCTTGACATACTGTAACTGATTTTTCAAACTTAGATATTCAGCTATAAAACCACTATTAACAGTATGCATATGCTTAAGACATTTTCTTTAAAATGCAAATACTATTACCTTATTAATCTACTGGAGCAAAAAGATATGATTTTTGTCTGAAGAAATAGAGGCCATGGATGTTCCCAAAGCTGTAAAAATTAGTCTCACAGATTAGCCCTGAAAATCCTTCATAAAATTCTGAAAAGGGAGGCAAAAATATGATCTCCCTTGTAGCTACTTCATTTCCTCAGAAGCAGGGTGTATACCTGCCCTAGATTTATTCTGTTGTTGTGCTTGAGATATGAGAAACACGGACACTACAGGTTTCTCTGCATGTTCAGCAGCTTGAATAAAGAAAGAAAAGAGCAAAGCAGGCAGATAGACATGCATGCACACACACACCACGCACACTCTGCTCTCCCTGTTCCCCTTCCCCAAGGTATGTAACAAGTATTTTAAAACTTCCATTCCCAGTTTTCCACATAAAGCATGGAAACAGTAGGTTATTTAGTGAGTATTCTTCAGGGTACGTAGCCCCTACCTATTTTCACATATAGTAAACTTGTGTCCTGCCACATTCAGGGCATTTTCTGTCTGCACTATCCCTAGAAAAGGCCTAACAAGAACGAGGCAGGAGAGTCTCTGCAAAAAGCAAGATCTTCTCCAGGCATTCAAACTTTTCATCTGGTTAACACAGCTTGATAGTTTCCTTCTTGTAACTGGACTGACTTGGTAAACCTTTTAGCTGCTGAACCTGGAGCATGTCCAGATGAATGCTGCATGCTTCTTTATGAGCTGATTCTACTTATTCATGTATTCACTGAAATAAAGCTAGGTGAGTTGTCTCCAGCAAAGCCTCCTAGATGGGCAAGCAGCCTGCAACAGAGCTGAAAACAGGAAATGTTTGGTCTATGGCAAGTGTCAGTCTTCTCACAAAGAGGAAGTATTAAACATGTGACTACCCACAGAAAGAGGGTTCAAAAAGTCCTCTTATCAAGGGGTCCAAAGCAGTACGTTTCTCTCTAGTAAAAGGTCTCAAGCATTAGAAATTCTCTTGCTATTTTTGCCACAAAATAACTTGGTATCCGTGCTGGTAAATCACCTTAAACAACCTTCCTTCAAGCAAAGATCTGGAAAAGTCTAAAACTCAGCACCACCTAGGAGGAAGGAGACCGAATTTTTCATAGAATAATCAGGGATTTTTGAACAGGCAAAAGCAGCAGCCGCTTACTTGTTGTATTCTGTAGCCATCTCAGCAGACCCTGAGGGATCAGAAGATATCTGCACTGTTCATTCCCAGAAGAAGCTGTGAAAGCTTGTATTTGCAAACCTTCAGGCTTTTAATAAAGTGTCACAGTGACAACAGTTTTTGGGACCCTGGCCTCTGAGACAGATGCATCAGACAGGGGGATTGAAAAGTAGATTTTGGCTTTTGCAGGCAGTGCGAGTATGGCAGGAAACTTTGGAAAAGGAATTAAGGTCAAGAAAGTATAAAGAAAAACGTGGTGTGTTTGTTTGTGTGTGTGTACACGTGCTTATAAGTATGCATTTATAAGTACATATGTAAGAGAAACATTAAAATACTGCAGGTCTGCAGGATGGTGCTGAAAAATCAGAAACCAGATGGATTGACTTTTTCTAAGTAGCAGACACCAGGAGTAAGGGAACTAGAATATGCGTTTTGCAGATACTTAAGTGTGAGAACTTCCTGCTTTCATGTGACAAAGCATGGGCACACGCAGTACCAGAAAGTGGGAAGTCCACATGAAGGTTTTACTCTTAAAGAAGCATCTGCAGCTAACATCTAAGGGAGTCAAAGCCCAAGAATTAAAGTGGATGTGCTTTCCTTTGACCTCTTTTCACTGTTCTATCTGTAAAGCAGAGGTTATATTGATTGCTCTGATGTTTCTGCAGTATTCTGTTGCCTCAAATTTTTTGCTCAAAGGCTGGTGAGGCACTTAAAACAGGTTGCCCAGAGAGGTTGTGGATGCCCCATCCCTGGAGATGTTCAAGACCAGGTTGAATGTGGCCCTGAGCAACCTGATCTAGTGGGTGCTGTCCCTGCCCATGGCAGGGGGGTTGGAACTAGGTGATCTTTAAGGTCCCTTCCAACCCAGGCCATTCTATGATTCTGTGATTCAAAACAGCTTATTTTTTTCTTCATAGGATCTAATGCAGAATTTCATTGTTGATAAAATCTAGAGGGCTAGTGGTTCTGTGCTTAATTTGGAATGCTGAATTAAAAAATAAGGATCTTCAAAGCTGGTTAATGAACTCTGACAAAAATATCCAAGTTATGATTTATGACAAGATATTAAAATTGTAGTGAGCGCATAATATTACAAAACTGGAATCTGAATGCTTTTCCTTCTTTTAGCTTAACACCTTTTCCCCCTTTATTTAGATATTTTTTTCTTTTGCAATGTTTGGTACTATCAGGATCTCAAATCTATTTTTCCTGCTGTGAATTTGTTACTTTTTTTTGTTGTATAAAAATCTTTTTCCTTCTGCTTTGTTGCTCTTGCCTCAAATATGTGAGAGGAATGAAGGCATGGCTCATACCTGAGGGTTAAGTTGAGTGTAGTTGCTTCTTTCTGGTTCTTTACTACTAATCTGTGACAATTATCCTGACTTACAGATGACATTTTTTGTACACATCTCATACTGTGAAAAGCAGGGTTTTCAGAGATGGCATTTGCTAGGAGTGATATTTCTGTAGATGTAAATCAGTACAGCTATCATTGGGTGCAGCTTGTGTCAGTAGTGCTGTTTGTCTGGTGGCAAGCAATTGGACTCTACAGTCAAATTTTCAAAGAATTTTGGCAACAGAACAACAAATATATATAGATATATATAAATATATATATATAATTATATGTTTTTTTTTTCCCCTCAGTACATCTGATTTTTGGGACGTTCTTTTTTGCTCTATTGGCCCCACATTTTTTTAAATGTTTGCTGATAGGGGAAGAAGCTAAGAATAAGTTTATTTTTCCATCTCATAATGCTTAAAGTACTTCATGTGTCCTTACTAGAGAGCCCCACAGCGAGCTCTTAAATGATGAAGATGGAAGCATTTGAAACAGTGTAGTTAAACTCAGCTCCTGTCATGCCACAGGATTATGATTTCCATTCAAAATTTGCATGATTTCAAGTAACCATCTCTGTGAGCCTGGAAAATGCCTGTTGTAACAGGAAACTTATTAGTATCAGATATATTTTAGGACTGTTTTCAGGACAGTATCTAAAAGTAAAAAAAACGTATAGCATTTCCATTGACTGAGTGTATATGAAACTCAGGAGTCTGGCTTTGAAAAAAGCTAGATTTGGTGTTTTTCAGGATGTCAGCAGGTAGGTGATTAACGGGGAACAGGGCAGTTCTGAACCCCGTTTTGGAATGAGATGTTCTATATAAACAGCAATGCCATCTAGCGGTACTAGGCAGTAACAAGAATCTGAGAAAAGTTAAAACTTCGTAGTTTTTCTGATTTTTTTCACTTAAAAAACAAAAAGGGAGATAAATCTTTTGGAGAGAATAAATCTATAATATTGTTGTCCAAAACACTTGAGTTTAGCAATCATTTATTGCTTTTTGGTAGTTGGAGTGACGTTTTCTTGTAAAATTGACAGCCTCCTTGGTGTTTTATTTCACGTGTGAGAGTCAAGCATCTTCTAACACTGTGCACTGTCCAACATTTATTGCTGTGTAAGCAAGATTTTCTTTTTTGTAATGCTCTAATACTTTAGCTTGGTTGTCACTTCACTCACTGGCTTCTTCTACACTTTATTGATTGCAAAAATAAGAATGTATATAGGTAAGAAGGGATCAACAACGGCAGTAAAAGAAGACATGGCTCCAGGCAACTGCAAATATAGCCAGAGAACAGGTGTCAGATCTGAGGAATCATAAAGTTTGATAAAGCAATCAGGATGTGGAAAACGAAGGAAGAAGATTAAATAGAAATGGGTAATGAAATAGGAGACTTTTCATATGCGCTGTATTATGTAGCTTAGCCCAAATTTTGTTTCCTTTTACCTATTACTGGCAAATTGCATTTGGAGCTGTAACAGCTATCTAGCTGTGTAATCATAAACTATTGGCTCTGAGAGGTACTCTATGTAGCTGCCATCAGTTAAGTAACGACCCTGCATTTGGAGGAGTAACTCATTAGAGAAGACAAATATTCAACAGTCTTTGGTTTTAACTTTGTCCTTAATTTATCCTTTTAGAGGAAGTGCAGTCACTTAATGCTAAAAGTAACTTTCTTTTCTTTGTGTCTGTGAATTTTATGCTTAGGGTATGGAGTATCTGGGTACAAAAAGATACATTCACCGGGATTTAGCAACAAGAAATATCTTAGTGGAGAATGAGAACAGAGTTAAAATTGGAGATTTTGGATTGACTAAAGTCTTGCCACAAGATAAGGAGTACTACAAAGTGAAAGAACCTGGTGAAAGCCCTATATTTTGGTAAGTCTCCTTTTGATATATGAAATCATGGCACATTTTCAGCTCCGTATTTTCAGCAAATTGTTTTGCATATTGTAGAATTATGAAGTGCAAACTCCAACTCAGTTGTGAAAGCACTGTGAAGGTCCCACTCATGATATATGACTTTACATGGTGTAAGTGTAGGTATTCTCAACATATTTTAACGGAAAAAAAAACAAAAAACAAAAAACTTCGGTATTTAAAAAATGCCTTAGGAATTGGCTCTTATCTAACATGGGAAAGCTTCTGGACTCTCACAGAGGCCACCATTGCAACCCCCTGCTACTAAACCTTGCCATATAAACCCTATACAACTGTACAACCTATACAACTGCATTCAGAATACAATAACATATACTTCTGTTCTGTGTATTCATAACGAAGACACAGGAGTACTTAGAAAATAGTCTCACAGATAATTGTGATAAAACCATTTTCTGTCTTGACAATGAAAGAAAATTCAATCTCATACCTTTGATTTTTGTCTATATAGCTGCTGTAGATGCTATTAAAATGTAATATTTAAAGGATGAATAAAATACTATAAAATACTATAAAAATAAAAACAGCTGGTGTTTTTGAGAGTTCAGAAGTACCTGGGACACAAGTCAAAGCTTACTGAAAGTGAAGGAAGGTGCTTACTGGCTAGAATTGTCTTTCTTTCCAGTCCTTTTCACATTAAAATCTTGTTCAACAAACAAAAAAAAACAGCCTTGGATATAGTAATCACTAGCTGTGTTAGTGTAAGCTAGTTTGTGTTTTTCAGTACCATTTAGTTACTATTAACAGTAATTAGTGAAGGTAATGGTAGGAAACGGGAATGTGCTAATGCCTGTATACTAAGGGTACGTACTTGTGAAAAATCAATCCTGGTCTTAGTAAAAGAAATATATTCAAAACTAAAAAGCAACAAATCACACAGAACAATTTTTTTTTTTGACTATGTCTTGCAGGTATGCTCCAGAATCTCTGACAGAGAGCAAATTTTCTGTGGCCTCAGATGTGTGGAGTTTTGGTGTAGTCTTATATGAACTCTTCACTTATATTGAAAAGAGCAAAAGCCCACCAGCTGTAAGTACATAATGAATGGTTCTCGGAGGTTTATTTAAATTTTCAGAAAGATAGATTTTTACGGTACTTAAATAGCTTGAGAGTTACTGATCCTTTTCAGATGACACCTTCACATTTGAGACCACATCCAATCAGAAGCAGTAGCGTGCTGAGAAACATTACTATCGAGACATAGGAAGCAAAAGAGATCTGGAAAATCACCTGATAGTCTGTGCAAATTTTATCCACACTGTTACTCCCAGCTGTTTGGGAAAGATTTTAAAGTCTCTAAGTATAGATTCATCTTTCTTCTCCTTCATGGAGAGCGATCCCAGATGCAACTATTTCTTTGCAACATGACAAGTATATATAATGCCATTCCAAATCAAAGGCTAAGCCAAACAATTACTTAAACGTTAAGTTGTTTTAAATGTAGTTACTCTTAAAGTTATTTTGTTATGTTACTCAAACCCAAGCTAATAATCTTTTGAATTTCAGGAAAGAAAGGGAATAATTTTTGCAGACTCTTTACAGATGCTTTTAAGGACAAGTTTATACTAAACAGAAAAATATTACTTCTGCACTACAAAACAGTTCTCCAATTGGAAATGAGATTCACGATGTTACTTATACCTAGCATGCTCTGAAGGCAATACAGGGGAGAGCTGAGTATTATATATGTAGTGGAGCTGTCCTCACTGTTGGCTAGTGTTTCAGTCATGGCAAATGTAGTCTTGAGAGCTCAACGATTGTAGGTGAAAATGTACTTGGGAGACCGCTGCACTGACCTCAGCAGACCTGTAAGTAATTGAATACAATTACTAAACTATCAAGGAAGAACTCTCAAAGCAAGGACAGCACTCCCTGTGTAGGAACAAACATTGCAGACATCTGGAGTTCTTCAAAGGGACTGTGAGATGGAAAGTGATGGAGTAAGTCATGGGCTCAGGTGGAATATGCTTTGAATAAATGAACTTTTTGGGTAGGTTACTCTGTTATGCATCAACAAAAAATCATTTGTACCAATTAGCCAAAGCAGTCATTCATCACCTTTACAATTATTCATTGTATTATTGACATTGTCTGTTCGCATGTTCTACCAACAGTTATTTTGCATTTTCATATCAAGCATCATTAAAGAAATATATGTAGCATTGGATGAGTAACAGTTCAATTACATTATGCTTAGAAATTATTTTCAGAATAATTAGATATTATATAATACATATATTATAAATACTTGCTCATTTACTTTTGATCTCTGACATTCTGAGAAATATTTTTATCTACTTTCAGTATTATGTTCATTTCGGCTAGCAATATTTATCTAGTCCATTTCGGCTGGCTTTAATTATGCCATCCTTTCTGGCCTGTAGTTACTGATTAATCCTGTTTGTCTTTTTTTTAATACATCAGGAAGTTATTGCCTGTTTTCTGTTTGTTAAGAATTTTTAAAGCATCAAGATTTTGTGTTAATGTTTCTGGAAGATCTTTAAAATTAGCAGTAAGATTTATCCTTTTAAAAGGATTTAATCATCATCAGATGATAAATATTTTAAAGATTTTAATTTATTGCTTTAGATCTTGTGTATATAATCTTATTGTCTTACACACATACACACAAAAAAAGGTGATTATTAACATTTGTCTGGACTTATTTATAGTTTTATCATTGCTATATACTGTGCTATTTATAGAATTTCTACGGTTTTTCTTATAAAGAGTTTTGCTTTGGTAATGATTTTTCAGCATCCTTTTTTTCCCTTCAAATATTATTTACAATAGTTGGCCTTCTGTTTCAGGAATTCATGCGCATGATTGGCAATGATAAACAAGGGCAGATGATTGTATTTCATTTGATAGAGCTTTTGAAGAATAATGGACGACTGCCAAGACCAGATGGATGCCCTGATGAGGTGAAGTATTATTATAGTAATACATTACTATAGTCTGAAAGGTGCTCAGTAAGGGTGAGCACATGGTAAATGCAAACCTTGTTTCCTTCTGCACAGATTACTGAAATATTTATACAGCCTGAATGGTTGTGCTGTTATTTTATCAGTTACATGATGAGTACAATCACATTTCTTTTATGATTCTTTAGATTGTATTCCCTCAGGAGCCTAGTATGTAGTCCTTCTAAATATACGAAATAGGATTATTGTGGCTGACTGCTGCAGTGGAGCACTCAGGCTTCTACTGCAAAAATGTAAATTTATTAAAGCAATGAAGTTAGCATATAGAATTTGATCCATGGAAGTCCCATATAAACATTCTTGTTCAAAATTGTGGACAGTGGATTTTTTGACATTTAAAGTTTAGCAGAAAAAAAAAAAAAGCTTCTTCAGATTTAATGAATCACATTTAATTCCAAGATTTAAAAAAAACTTTATCTTGATAATACTCGTTCGCTTGCTCTTTCCTCCTCAAGTACAGGAAAACAACTCATGTTTATCATGTATATTATTCATTGTCGAGCATTCTCATCCAGGAGCTACCTGAAGTCTGTAGCCACAATGAATTATATGAATCAGATTTTATATGGTCAGGGCCTTTAGATTTGTATGCAGGTTCTTCATAGATACTGAATTTTATATGCCTGTAAAGTCATCTTCAGTGCACACATTAATTCAGTGTTCTTTTATTTTGCTAATACTCCAGGTGTTTTTAAAAAAATATTTCTAAGTCTTAATTCTCTGCTCTTTAGAGGAGGGGGCACTTCAGCTTGAGTCAAACTAGTAGGGCTGGGTAAGTGAATCAGTAAGGAAAGAATGTTTTATTTGTGTAACTTGTAGCTCAGATCAAATCCTACATCACTTTAAAACCAGACACACTTGGCAATAAGTCCTGAAATAATTCATTCAAACCTGGAGACAGAAGAGAGATCAGGGTCAAGTGATCTAGAGGAAAAACAACGGTACAAGTGGGGCAGAGAAAAACTAGTATACAGTATATAGAACTATAGTATATACTAGTATATAGAACTATACAGAAAATTAAAGGAGAAGTCTCTGAAGTAACCTTTCTTCTATTATACATATGAGTATAACAATTGTTGAATCACAACTGTTGAATTGCTTAGCTTTTCACAGATAACCTGAATGTCATATTTATATGATAATACAGAATGTGTTATATTGAAACTGTCAATATCAGACACTGGAATCTTTGCAAAACTTAAGGTATCAAAGCAAGATGGAAATTCCTCTCTTCTGTCAGAAACTGCTCTTCCCATTTTGATCCTAAGAGGGTAGTCATAACAGATCTTAAATTTTCTGGATGTCTGTAGCATACAAGCTGCTTTAGTTTCAGGTCGATGCAGGAATTCCAGATTTGCGGAAAAAAGAACTGAAAGCTACATTTGTCTTGCGAGCCTTGCAGGGAGTTCCTCAGCAATACTTGAGAAAGTGTTGGTAGTATGAGAAGTTGGTAATGATCTGGGTTAAATTAGTGAGAAATGTATAGATAAAGAGGCTGGCATAGAAATCCTATTCTGGGATCAGGTATCAGTTACATGTTTAGGAAAAGAGTGTGGTCAAATGCCTATTGTAATAGAAATATCTTCAAAAAGTTCACTCAAATTCATTTTTACTAGAAGCAGGTTCAGTTTGTTCTGTCTTCTTTCTGATTAGATATCAAGGATAATGAAGAATTTAATAAAAGAATATGGAGAAATGTATGTTAAAGTTCTTGGAGCAGTTCAGAGTAACTCTTAACTATAGTGCCTGTGCCTAATACTGATTTTCTTTGTTTCTCCTCCAGATTTATGCTATCATGAAAGAATGCTGGAACAACAATGTTACCCAGCGCCCCACCTTTAGGGATCTTGCTCAACGAGTGGATCATATAAGGGACAACATGGGTGGATAAGAAAACTGTCCCTCCTTAAGAGGATGCATTGTGATGCAGAACAAAATGTACTTGGTCTGCTGTGTATAATTGACATATGTGCACTTGTGCATCTATCTTTCCTGGGAGTAAAATCTGTGTGGAAAATATCCTATCCGAATCTGCAAACTGAGGAATCCTGCTGGTTTTCTTTATCAGGATATATTTGTTACTATGAGAACATGTTGAAATTCACAATAGGGAGAGAAATTATTTTTCTAAATAAAATAATCTAATATATGGTCAGTCTACAACACCATTATTTGCCTTACTTGGCAGTGCAAAAAAAGAGGTGACTGAAAATATGGTGTGAGTAAGAAATGTAAAGACAGTGTATTTCCTTGTTGAAATGGAGATGCACAGAAAAGACTCCTAGTCCTTTCACTACAAGTCTGTAGTGACTTGGCACCCTGTTTTGTGTGTTGCACAAGGGCTTGTGTTTGTTAATACACTTTTATAACTTTCATTGTTGATGCAGAAATGGCTTCTCTGTATAATGAAATGGAAGTGGTTATGTAATCTGGCAACTTCTACTGTGCCTGTCTGAATCAGTTGTTGGTCAGCAATATATGCAAGGAGACAGAATAGGCTGTGTGATGTATAAAAATACTTAGGGGAAGGGAGCAAATTGTTTTTCATTTGGACAGACAGAAAACTTACCCATGTGAAAATTTTAATTTAAAATGAAAAGGCAAACATTCTTGTTTTTTCTTACTCTTCCTGTCTTGATTAAATATTGGATACCCTTAACATATCTAAAGATGTAATATAACAAGTAGAACTGAAGCCATTTTATACAAGGTAGTGTCTTCAGTTTGTTTCTGAGTATTAAAAAGCCAAACATATTGCTTTTAAATACTTCTTTTATTCCTTCCATCTTTGTAATTTTCATGTAGTTCTCAGTGTATCTATAAATCGGAAACTTTTTAAAACAGAATTAAAAATATAGAAAATGCCCTTCATTTTCCAGTTGCTCACTTTGATGTCATGATCATCATCGTATACATTCCTTCCAGTACCCTAAAAGAATGTTTATGTCCCCTTATGTCTGATATGGCCAGTCGCAAACACCTTGGGTCAGTTTTGCAGTGAATTGACCCAAAGTTATCTGATTTTTTTTTTTCTGTGGTAAAACCCAATGTAAGACCATTTGGAAGGAGGAAATATAAGTGCAGTTGCTCCACAGTCGGCTGGGGGCAAGAACATGATCCCAGTTATTGATAACTGGAAGGAGGTCAAAACTACTTGAACAGATTACTCTGTGTAATTCCAATTTTGAAATAAGTCTAACAAATTTATAGACAAGGCAACTGTTTGGTTTTTGCCTCCAAGCATAAAACTTGGGGAATAATTTCATATCTCAAAGCAGTAAAGGTTTCAGGTTTTGTTTATTTTAAATTCAAATATATATATATTTTTTTTACTTAGATATTGTTGTAAAGTACAATGCTGGTTCTTCTTGGATGTTTGCTGAGAGAGGCTCAATCAAAGCTACGTAACTCGGCAAACTCTTGAAATGCACATTTGTATTTAAAATGAAGTGTTCATTTCTGAAATTCATGGCAGTGAATATGTGAAATAGAGGAGTTACTTCACTCTGAGGCCTCATTAAGATTTATGATTTAAATACATCCATCTTATCATAAGTTTAAGTACCTCAATTTATAAGAAGTAAAAATTCCTTATTCAATTAACATTGTGCCAGTATTGCAAAGTTTTGTACCACTATGATGTTTCTCTCCCACAATCACTCGTTCCAAATTCTGATTGTATAATATGGGAGATTGGTAAGTAATGAAGGGGCACCATCAGTCCTCTTTCTGCCCATTGCATTTAATAAAAATTTTTGTTTGTTTTCTTGCCACCAAACTCTTGCATAGATAATTTTTAAACTAATTTCACAAGCAGTTTTCAAGCTGCAAATAATTTTAAAGTGCTTTGTTCAATTTAACATGTTTTCTCTACTTCTATACATTGCTTTCAAGATGATTTAAAAATTTCATGCAAGAAATGTCTTTGAATGTTTAGTCTCAGTTGTGTGTATGTGGTTTTTTTTTTTTGGTTTTTTTTTTTTTTGGTAGCAAGAGAAGGTAAAGCTTTAAAGCATTGAAACAGCATTTTAGCTGGAATAACATATGCAGGAACTATGTAAAATTTGCAGTGTATGACACTGAGTAGCCAATTGGTTTCCAATATATAATAGACTAAACATAATTTATGTAAAAATCTCAGGGAGGTTTGTGTAATGCAATGAAGAGATCTTCCAGTCTGCTCTTTTTTCAAGTGAATAAAAAGTCTTTTGCTTGTTCTACTACAGTATGACTGATTACATAGTCTATTTGATTGCTTAAATATAGTGTGGAACTCAAGGATAATTTTTAAGTGTTTTTGTGGATTTTTTACTTAAATACTTTATAATTTTAGAGGAAGCCATATCTTTACACTGCACTATAATTGTGTGCTGTTGGTCAGGAACATATTTAGTCCATTGTAACAAGTCTGTGCAAAGGGCTTGATCATTCAGGATGAGTATTCTCAGCTGGGTGAATAGGACCAAGTAGTGCTTAGGTCTCAGGGGATGTGTGATCACCTGCAGTGTCAATGTTTAGGTCCTGGTGCAGACAGAATCATGGTTTTCTCAAAAAGCTGTTGAAGATGTAAATGCAGTGATTTGCTGAATTTGCTAATGCCAAATGTAACCTTTTTTTTTTTTTTAAAAAAAAAAAAAACAAAAAAACATAAAAATGGCAATTCAAAAGCTCTGAGATCTACAGTAGAGTTGTATAATGCCATATTTTTATATAGTCTTTGTATTAACAGATCAGTTTTTGTTTTAGAATCTTTCTTCAGTTGGCATTGCATTTGTCACACTTCAGTGTAATCAATATGCTACTCAAAATGCTGTGATTTGTTGTAGGAAAGTGCTGTTTTACGCATACATGACTGCTGCTATGATGTAGAATTAAAATCCTAACTACTGCTTTGCACTTATATTTGAAGTGAAAGAATTTTTCAGTAAGTGCACAATGTATCTTAAAAAATCTCTGCAAACAAGTATTGTCTAATATAATATTGGTTTGTTGCCTATCGGTATAAATATGCTAAGCTTCAAAATCCATTTTAAACATATTCCACAACCTTGCAACAGTCATGTAATAAGCCAGATGAGGAATGGATTTTCAAGAAAAGAAACCCAAATTCTGTTGAGTCATGATATTGATTAAAAGCTTCCACAGTTGAGATAATTATTATTATATATACAGACAAATAACTGTAAAAAAAAAAAAGATGTAAAATTATTTTTAGAAATCCAAGTTTTTGATTTTTACATTTGGTTGAGATATGGCCAACTGTCTTGATATGTGTGAGAAAAGATGTTGCTGCATAAGGTATGAAGAAAAGTAACTCTTGTGTAAAGAAAGCAAGCTTTTCAGGAATGTATGACCTGGAGGACAGACTTCTGAGAGTAAGAATGGAAGTTCAGAAGAACAAGAAGACTGTTGGAAAAAGGCTGATGTTACACAACAAAGAAGCTTTCTGAAATAAGAAATGCACGATGATTTATGAAAAACTGATAATGTCTACTGAAAATGCCATATCATGACAAATATTTGCTGATGTATTTCTTAGCTGTGTATTGTCTGCCTTAAATGTAAAATACTCACAGAGACCTAACTTGTTGGAAAAAATTCAAGGGTTGCTATACCAAAAGAAACTGCATAAAGTTATGCGACGCCAGACAGCAATTTTGAAAGATGTTTGACTAAGAAGGGTTTTTTTCTGAATTTTGCTTTCTGAATAAGAGGTTTAAAATACTTTATATTAAAGTAGAAAAAGTCCCTTTGGGGGAAGGGAGAAAAAAACACGTGCTACTTGTAGTTGGACTGCAAACATTTGAGCACATGGCTTATTGAAGAGAACGTGAAGGGGATATTTTCTAGCAAACTGTGTATTAATAACTGAAAACTGTGCATTTCTTTTGAGTATGGTTAGTAAAAATAAAATAAATACAATGAAAGGCGCATGCCTGCAAAGATTTTCATTTATATAATACTTAAAATTATTTTATGGTGTTCAAGTTGCTATTGAAGAGAACTGCTCTGTTTAAAGGGGTATAATACAGCACACACAACTTTGTGACTTTCCCAGAATTAGCCATATGTAGTGTTTATCTTTTTGTAAGGAATCTTTATGTACCAAACAAAAAGCTGACTATTGGGTGCTCCCTAAAAACAAGACTGATCTGATCTACCCCTTATTAAGCTGGTTTTTGTGGGATGAAGAAGCACTTCCCTTTACTTTCAGTATTTAGTGAGAGGCAAGTCTGTAAGCCAAGAAGAACAGACTGACTGGTACCAGGGTACGGTTCTGCGGAATTTCTAACACCAGTAAACTATTATGCAAATATGCAAATCAAGAGATTATTCCATTAATTTATTGTCTTTATTGTAGGATTTTCCTGTAATTTTGAATTCCTGGGAAACATGAAGATTATCAACAGTTACTCTTGGAAAGAGTTGATGCAGATCTTTTTTTAAATTACGTTTGGAGAAGTGCAATGACAACACAAAATACACAAATACACAGAATCTGCAGATAAATACACAAGTATATGCTTAAGCTAGTACACTGTGGTGGAAGTAAAGCATTGTTCAGTTACACTTCCAACTCATACCATCCTAATGAAGTTTTAAAGGTTATTGTAGGCAGTGTTCCTCCTGACAACTACCAAAGATCATTGAGGATCTTTAATTGTTATAGGAAACAAATTTTAGATAATGAAGAAGTTAGAAGAAAATACTGATGCTCTCATGTGATTATTGTATATTGTATGATAGTAAGTGTGGCACAATATAGCCTTTAGTTCCTCTTCATGCTCTTGAAATAGTGTGATGTTCTGCCTTTACTTTGAGATAAATATAATATTCTTCTTTGGGGCTTACTTGACAAGGTTTGGGTAACTGGGGTGGGGGGTTGGGGAGGTGCTGCAGAGGTGGCCTCTCTGAGCAGAGCTCAGCAGCTGCCTCATGTCAGATCAGAGCCAGCTCTAGATGGCTCCAAAGGGGACCTGCTGCTGGCCAGAGACAGGCCAAGGAGCTAGCCAAGGTGGACCTCTGGGAGAGCAAATCGAAGGAAGGGTGGCAGGAAAGCACAAGACCTGCACACAACCCTTGCAGCCCCCCAGGTCAGTGCAGCAGGAGGGCAGGAGGTGCTCCAGGCAGGCAGCAGCAGTTCCCCTGCGGCCTGTGCAGGAAAAGGCCCCTGGTGGAGCAGGCTGTCCCCCTGCAGCCCATGGGTCCCACATGGAGCAGATCTCCACGCTGCAGCCCCCCCGTGGGTGGAGGAGCCCCCGGCAGGTCTGGGGGAACTGCTGCCTGTAGGGGACCTGTGCTGGAGCAGTTTGCTCCTGGGGGATGGATGGACCCCGTGGTACGGAGCTGTGTGGGAGCAGTGCTTGGAGAGCTGCTGCCTGTGGGCAGCCCCCACAGGCTCAGTTCGGGAAGGACCCCACGTGGAGCAGGGGCAGAGAGGGATGTGAAGGAGTGGCGGAGACGAAGCGAGAGGGACTGACCACAGGTCCATTCTGTGCTCCTATGCACCACTTGGCAGGAGGACATAGAAGAGGGAGGGTGGAAGTGAAGATGTTTTTAGTTTGCTTGTACTTTCTCACTGTTCTAGTCTGTTAGTAATAGGCAGTACATTGTATTAATTTTCCTATGCTGAGTCTGTTTTGCTTGTGATGGTAGTTGATGGTATCTCAACCCATGAGATATTTTCATATTCTTCCCCCTTTTCCTTTGAGGAGGAGGAGTGAGAAATGGTGTGGTGGTGGTGTTGAGCTGCCCATTGGCGTGAAACCACCACATAAGGTAGGAGGAAGTGCAGAAACATTAAATTTTAAGGTATTAGCTAAGAAATGCTCATAGAAGTAGAACATGATAAAATTGAAAATGCTTGAAGTTTTAGGTAACTAATTATTTTAAGGAATATGGAAGCATCAGGAATAGAAGGAATTCCAGAACTTGTAGCTAGATAATACTATAGCACAGCACGTACTGAATTCTGATAAAATTTATAGAACTGTGGTTTTGTTTGTTTGTTTTATCTGTGGTTGGTTGCATTTTCTGTATGGTGCCATGCCATAAAACTTCAACTCAGTGAGCAATATCTATTAAAAATAAAAATAAGAATGCATCTATAAAAACACCTCTATATCACTTGTGTTTCCTGGTAGTAATTTTCCCTCTAGTGTTATAAAGATGTGAAACCTTTAGTGAATTTATAAAAATACATTCACATTCATGTAAGTTGACTAAAAAAAAAAGAAGTGAAATAGTCATTTCTGCAACAACTTGAGATCACTACTGGAAGTCTGTGTAGTAATGGAGCCATTATGTTCAGATCCGTTTTTGGTCTTTGCTTTCTGTGTAAGTTTTACTGGAGACATGTAAATCCCCTCCCGCCCCCCCCCCCCCCTTTTTTTTTTTTTGCCGCGGGGGGGGAGGGGATTTACATGTCTCTAGTAAAACTAGAGGGGTATCACACTTTTGTGAAGCACATAGTGTGCTATGGTATTAACTTTAGAAAACTGGAATTTGATGGCAAATAGCAGCCTAGAAGGTAACAATTACCATATTAAAGCCAAGAAAATTGGACTAAGAAGTAAAACTTGGAAAAATCCTGGTGTATAATAATTGTATGGATACAATTCACAAAGCCAGATGCTGCTGTTGCAAACAGGTAAAAAAGCAAGAGAACCTGAAGAATTAAACCTGGAAAATACTGCGATAAGTGGTAAGAGCAGAGACGTGAATCATTCATAAACCAAGTTATGTTTAATTCCTCCTTTCTAGAGGATAGCATCTAGCTGATAAACTGTTGTGTCACTTAAACCTCTTCAAAGAAGTGTTTGAGCTGTGGTTTGAAGTACTTCTGACACTGAGACTTTACAGGACTTAAGAAACACAGAGTGGAGCAAGGAGGACTTCAGTGCTTGCTGGCATTGCCTTGTTGTGCAAGAGCCGCTGGAGCAGCCAGAGGGGCAGGGATCTCCCCCTGCGTGGGATCCACATCTGGCAGGGTGCTCTGTGCCAGGAGCTGCCTCAGGAAGACATGCTGGTTTTGTCAGCTGGCTAAAACGAGGCCCGTACACTGCAAGGGGGTTTTGGAGAACATTGCATTCCTAGCAGTCACGATTCACGGTTTGTTGCCACCAGGGCAATGCACACACATGTCCCTAGGGATGAGTTCCAGGATGGGGACCCCTGAATCTCCAAGCAGCCATGTGACAGCCAGGTGTTTGCAGGGACGTCTTGCAGGGGACTTCCATGAGGCCTCAGGAGTGTGTCCTTCTGTACCATGGCCATGGTGCCTATTGGAGCAGGGGGCATAGATCACGTATTTTTTTGTAATGCTATCATTAAATAGATAAATGAACAAGTAATACTAATTGAGCTAAATGACAATTGTGGGGGAACAGCAGCAAAAGTTAAAGAAAGCACATCTGAGCTTCTAACCCAAGAAAGCAGATTACTGGAGAATGAACAATGAATGAATGAAGTTCGGGAACAGGAGCTTGTATTTAGAATGTGAAGGCTCAGGTTAATAAATGTGCATGTGGAAATGGTCTTCCCTTCTTTTTGCTTCTCTACTCTTGATCTCTTGATTTGTAACAGTGTTTTTCTCTTAGCAGAATGGCATCCAATATTGAAAGGTCTGTGCAAGACAAAACAAACTTCAAATCTGTGGGGAAGATCAAAATAAATAATACTTGTATGTCAGCAAGGTATGAGCTTTCATTTCTCGGGATTAAGAAAGGTTTTATTACCTTGATGTGAACTGTACAACGCTAAGGCTAGTAACACTATGGGGAAGTTGATATGGTAATACCATGACATCCTTACAAGACTTTTGGGACATCCAATGATGCAAGTGTCTAGACAAATATGCAGTTATGGGAACAAAATGGTGTGGAGAAAAAAAAAAAAAAAAAAAAAAAAAAAAAAGCTGCCCTAAAGGAGCTTTAACCTTCTGTACTGGGACTGTTGGGCCCCTGAGGACATGGGGCTACAGACTACCTAAATGAGGACAGCAAAGATAAAAGTCATGCTCAAGTTCAAGTGTGTGATCAGGATATACTTTAGTTAAATACAACCAATTTTAACTTGGTGGTGTACATTTGAATGCTGCATGGTGGGAGAGAATTAACACTGTATTTCATTCTCTCTGTAAGTTGTCTTATTACTGATTTCCTAATAATAATAATAATAATAAAATAGTCCTACAAATGTAGTATCTAGTCGTGATTTTGTTTTGACAGTATAACCATCTACTTTTTTATTAAACTTAGACAACTTATTTTAACTTTATTCTTCATATCTCTATAACAAATTCTACAGAGTAAAATGTCATTAAGTAAATAAATATTAGTAAATAAGTTGTTTTAATTAGTCAAATATAGCTGAGTATATAGTCTAAGCATATTGCAATTCAAGTAAAATTGCAGTAACTTCCCCTCAACATGAACTCTAGTTAGTAACTACCATCTTGTGTGTTAATTAGCACATCTGATTTCAACAACAGAGCAACTAAAGTTAGACAATTACATCAAGAGAAGTAGAGAAGAGAGTAGAAATGTGGATGGTAAATGTGTTGCCTGAGCTGCAGCTGAATGAGCTCTAGTCAAATCTCTGGTCTTTTCTGGTTATGCCATTAGAAGCTCTCAGTTCACTATTAGAAGTGGCTTTTCCTCCGAATTGCTGATCTATCAATTAAACAGGTAAATCAAACTTAATGCTGAGTCTGTGTACAGCAGCTTCCATATCTGAAGCACATGACTTATCAAAAAACAAGCAAACAAACAAACAAAAACCACAGAGGATTTCACCTACAACTGAATAGAACTCTCAAAAGACCTCAAATAAAATTTAAGGCTGAGTCTAAACTTGGCTTCAGCCTTCAGCAGAAGAGTATCTGACACAGGAACATGAATTCCTCTATTCCGTTAGTGAGAGGTATGGC